ATAATTTATGACAGTATTTTTCAATCATGACAATATGTATCATGCACGGCAGTAACAACTCCATGAAATCGGAGTGAAAAACAAGACAAAATTGACACTTTTGTATATGAACTCAGAGCCCGGTTGGTAGCATGAAAATCGGCTGTTTTGGCTGATTCTGCTGAAAGTTATGAAATTCTGGCTGAAGTGGCTGCATTGGCTGATTTTGCTGATTTAAAAAACAAATTATTTTTAAAATATATTTTATTAACAAAATAAAGAAAAAATTATATGTGAAAATAGCTAAAATGGTCATCTACAGTAACTTCAGTCAATACAACAAGAAAAGTAACTCCAACCTTACTTTTTCTGCTTATTACACAATTTAGCGAGCGAAAATAAAAGTTACGTGTTTGGTGAAAAAGTTGGCTGATAAGTCTAATAAGCCGAAAAACAGTGTTGCCAAACGGCCTCCCAATGTACACATAGGCAGGATTTGAAAATTACATGACGTGCAATACATGAGCGATGATATCCTACAATAAATGTACAAGACGATGGAGATTTAACAATTTCAAGGAGAGAAAAGGCAGAGAATTACATTCATTCTAACTTCCGTAAATTTAGATGCCTTACCTGAAATGATATGAAGTCGGAAGAAAAGTTGAGCAACAATAGGCGGCCACCGTTCTGCGGCCACCGTTCTGATGTATACTTGAAACCCACTTTTGTGATAAATTTAGAGGCCGTTTGGCATTTGATAATTTTTTCACCAAACACGTAATTTTTACTTTCGCGTGCTGAATTGTGTAATAATTAGAAAAAGTAAGGTTGGAGTTACTTTTCTGGTGGTATTGGCTGAAGTAAGGTTGAGGTTACTTTCCTGACTGTATTTTTTCCTTAGTATTGTTGTTGTATGATTTTTTAAGAAATCATATAGGGGACTTAACTTGAAATTCTACACGTTTAAAAGTGTAGAATTTTGATATAAAGTAGTACTCCATCCGTCGCGCTAAGATTGACTCATTTTACCTTTTCGGAAAGTCGCACTAAAATTGTGTCATACCATATTTGATAAAGATTGTGTGGCTCTAAATCATTCTAACTTTATTCTTACTTTATCAATTTAATATCAACCACACAAATCTACTTTTCTTAATAATCGTGCAACTTTCTCTCGTCTCAATCTTAGTGGAACGGAGGTAGTTGTATTTAACTTAGAAGAGTTGGTGAATCGGTAGGAGTTGAAATCGCCGTAAACCGCCACCAAAAAGAGGCTGCCCGTATTGCAGACCACGAATGCCGCCCGCCCTTCACAGAAGCCGGTCGGCTTTTGTCTGCTGTCCAGGATTTCCATTTTCAATCGGCCTAGAACGGGGATTGATAAAGGGGTTTGGCAAAGGCAACCATTGCAACCCATCTTAAGGTGAGAATGACTAACTATATTGTTTCACTGGTCTTCTCATAACAATCCTACCTTTAATTAATTCAAGAATAATCCCAACTTTGCATCTCATCTTCTTTCATTGGACCCTTACTTTGAAAATCTTATATAAATAATCTCACCTTTGTAGGTCATCAATAGGTCATGGTCCAATGAAAGAAGATGAGGTGCAAAGGTGAGATTATTCTTGGATTACGTAAAAGTGGGATGATATGCACTAATTAGTAATGCATAAGTGTATGTTTTTATGTTTAATTTGTGTGGATTGTTTACCATTTTATTTAGTTTGTAAACATTTGTGTGATTTTAGTTGTAATTGTATTTTAATCTTCATTTATAAGTTGTAAAGTAGAATTAGGAATTACGGTGTTGAAAAGGAGGATTTTGAAGTGAAGAAAAAGGAGATTGGACTGTCCAGGAGCTGAAACCCGACCGGGTATAACACTTCACCCGGTCGGGTAAGATTTAACAGACGAAGGTGGCTGGAAATTACACAGACCCGGTCGGGTCCCCTACTTGACCCGGTCGGGTCATATGTGACCCGAAACACCAGAACATGCCGAAGATCGCCAGAATGTGGAAAATATCTGATTTTGACCAAACCCGGTCGGGTCAACTAGGGGACCCGGTCGGGTGGGCACTTGACCCGGTCGGGTACCCGGCCAAAGGTGTTGAAAAACACCTATAAATAGCACACTTTTCCTTCACTTTTAATAACTTCTTCTTCCATACTCGTAAGCTCAGTTTAGAATAGTATTTCTTTTATATTTTTATAGCATGTTTAGTCTCCAAATGAGGAGCTAAACTTCCATTTCTTGGTGTTGCTCTTGAAGCTTGTTGATTATTAAAGTTGTGAGTTATTTTCTTAACTTCTTCCCTTGAATGTTAATTATTCTCTTAATCTATCTATATATTAATGTTAGGGAGTGTTGCTAAGATGACAATTAGTTAACATCTCGACATTAGTTATAGTAGTATTTATTTTCTTTCTCTATATATTAATGTTGGGGAGTGTTGCTTAGATGACAATTAGATAACATCTTGACATTAGTTATAGTAGGATTATTCATATTTAATCTTCTTCCTTGAATATTAATTCTTCCCTTAATCTATCTCTATATTAATGTTGGGGAGTGTTGCTAAGATGACAATTAGTTAACATCTCGACATTAATTACTACTAGAAACGATCAACGAACCGATGGTTAATCGTTGATGGTTTCACAAGTAAGTAACTTCGGTTTATTAATGCACGGTCGTGGTTAATAAACTTAAGAGGGATTAATTTTGTTGGTTAAACCGAAACCGTTGTGTTGAGGTTATCAATCTCAATTGATTTCATCAAGGAGTTAAGAGATTAAATGCTACTATCAAGTCGGTATATGGCGGTGTTCTATACTTGACTAATAGTAAGAGTTATTAATGAACGGTCGTTGTTAATAACTATCCTCGATGAATTGGATATACTCCTCGATTGAGTATTCGAGAGGGGATAAGTTATAGATATAACAATGATCGACTAAAATATATCAACAAGTGGAAAGTAGCAATATCAAGTCCCTTTTATCTTTGAATTAAATCACATATAAGTCATTTATCTTCGTGTTTAATTTTAATTAAATCATTCAATCCCAAAATCCCCCTTTTATTTACTAGTTGTATAAAAAAAAGAGAAATATTTCTTTCCCTGTGGATACGAACTCTACTTCACCTATACTACGTATAAGTGTTAGTTTTGAATTTTATTTTGACGCACTGTGACAAAGTGCACGTCATGAGATTATTATGAGAAGACTAGTAAAAGGTGGGATTATTCTTGTCAACTTTTCCTATAAAATATGTGTTTCACCTTTTAATTTAACATTGGGATTTGTCCATCAGTACTTCCGTGACTTCTATGGTTTGCTATACCGAGTCCATTTGATTCCTAACTATTTGCCTTCTCCGTTTATAAATGATATATCCCCGCTTAATGCTAGACTAGAGAAGTGTTTACTTCGCTGCTAAAATCACAGTTAGTTATGTTAATAAGACAGATGAAGTAAACATACAAGCTGCTTAAAAAGCTGTTTACTAACCGAAAGTGCCGCTGACTAAGCATATCACCCTCATGTATTAATTAAGCGGCACTTTAATCTTTTTCAATTTTTGAATTTACCCTTACCCTTATCCCTTGGACCCTTACCCTCACTCTATTGTTACCTCTCCACCCGTTACCCGCCCCCTACCTACCCCCTATCCTACCCTACCTTACCCCGACCCCCACCCCACTCGCACCCCTATACCTACCCCTTTTACCATGTACCACCTGCCCCCATCCTACCCCACCCTACCTTGACCATAAACCCATTATCCCCACCCCAACCCCTTACCACCCGACCCTACGCCTTACCCCATCCCGACCCTACCCCTTTACCCTTACCACCTTCCCTTACCTCAACCCTACCACTACCCTACCCCCGACCCCACCCCTTTACCAGATCCCACCCCTACCCCATCCCCTACCCTACCTCTTACCCCACACTTCGCCCTCTGTACCCCTTACTCTACCCCGACCATACCCTTCACCCCATACCACCTGCCCCCACCATGACCCTACCCCACCCCTGCGAGTGGGGTAGGGGGTATGGGGGTTGTAGGGGAGTAGGGGTAAAGGGTAATGTCGTGGTAAGGATAGGGGTAGGGAAGGCGTAGAGGTCAGGGTGTGGAATTGGGGTAGGGGGGGTAGGGGTGGGGGTGGGGTAGGGTAAGGGTATGCTTACGAGGTGACCCCACATATTATATTATATACTTGTATTCGTAGATGTTTGTGTGTCTATATATGTATAAGGTTATTTTGGACATTTGATTGTTAAACTGTGTTTTAAATCCTTTAAAGTAAACATGAGCTTACAATAAATACTACTTATTTTATGCGCCGCTGATTAACACGAGTCTTAATAAACACCATTTGGTAACCCGTGAAGTAAACATGTCCTAGGTACAAATTTATACCACGTAAGTAAAATAATACTCCGTAATAACAATTTGGCGAGATACAAATTTATATAAAATAATAATAACAATTTGGCACAAAATATTGAAAGAAATGAAAGAAAGCAACAAAAGAAACAATGTTGCCTACGGCTTAGGGAAAGATGAGTGACAACATTATGGGGATGTTCATCATCAACACCTGCAGGGAAGTTTGCTGGACTCATATTTCAGGACAATTAAACATTACGGAGTACTCCGTATATTATTTCAGAACTAATTAGTTTACTAGCTCCATCTTCAGCGACAAGTTTTCTTCAGGTCTTTAATTCAACGACAAAATGCAACCATACGGTAAGACCAGCCAATCATTTTTATGAGTGAAGTGCTTAGTTATATGGTCTTTGCAATTAGAACCACAAGAAAAATCGGGGTGAAACAAGTAGAAGAAAATTTTCACATCAACTTTTACACATAAAATAAAGTTCGTTACCAAGGAGGACTTGCTTGTAGAGCAGTTGTCCATCTATAACATGCATTTGACAGCAAATGGAAATGAAAGACAGACTAGAATTCATAACTAGACTTAAAATTTAGCAATCAAAAGCACTTCATCAAATAAATAAATAAAAGGAACAAAAGAGGTTGTTTTCATAAGCCTCATGGGCAAAGTTTTCCCTAATTAGCAGAGACCAACAGCCAATATAGTACTCACACACAAAAAACAGTCAAAGTGTGGTGTCATATGACAGCAATCAGAGACTGAAATTCCAGACCAAACAAAGTTTCAAAAAGTGCATCAGCATACTAAAGCATTAGCATGCTGAAATGCCAAAAGTTTAGAGACTTCCAAAATCTCCGTATCCTACTGGTCTCAGGCTCTACAATTGTGGGAATTTCTTGCGGGCGCTGCATCTTGATGATAAAAGACTGGCATATGATCTCCAGTTCATTTTTCTTTTCCAAATACTTGTGGGCTTCATCGAGATGGTAATTCCAGTCTAACCATCCAACCGCATTCTCAATTGCATTTTTGAAATTCACAATGTCGTCCTCCATACCTACCTTATTCCCACAGCAGCTTAAAGTCCCCCAAGCGTGGTGAATGTAATTCTCCAGAGCATTTTTAGCCAGGGATGCCTTCTTGCGCTTTATATCTTGAGCCTTGTACTCTTCAGCCTCCTTCACCATCCTGTCAATCTCCTCCTTTGACAACCTCTGACTGCGATTGGTAATAGTGATTTGGTTCCTGTTGTCACTATCCACTAGTTCAGCAGATACAGTCAAGATGCCATTGGCATCGATGCTAAAATTTACATCAAACTTCGCCTTACCTTTGGGGGCAGGAGGAACATCAGAGATAGAAAATTCTCCAAGGAAGTTGTTATGTATGGCTATAGGCATCTCTCCCTCGAACACTGGGAATAGACATCTGGTCTGGTTATCAACAGCAGTATATTTTTTCACTGTAATATTTGTAGGGATTGTGGTATTCCTTGGAACCACAACAGACATTTCACCACCATGCAGCTCAATACCAAGAGACAAAGGAGTAACATCCACAAGCACAATATCCTTATTCACACCCAAACAGGCACCAGTCAGCTTGGCAGCATGAAAAGCAGCTCCATAGGCAACAGCCTCATCCGGATTTATGCTTTTGCAGAGGATCTTTCCATGGAAGAATTCTTGTAATAATTCTTGAACCTTTTGGATTCGTGTAGACCCACCAACGAGAACAACATCATGAATGTCAGTCTTCTCCATTTTAGCATCTTTTAAGCACTTCTCAACCGGCTCCAAGCAAGCCTGGAACAGATCCAGATTCAATTTATCAAACCGTGCACGGGTAATATTTGAAGAGAAATCAATGGCCTCAAAGAGGCAATCAATGTTAATAGACGTTTCCGTGGCTGAAGAGAGGACTCTTTTGGCCCTTTCACAAGCTGTTTTCAGCCTGCCAAGAGCCCTGGGATCTCCACTTAAATCTTTTTTGTGTTTTCTCTCAAACTCAGCCACAAAGTGGCTTACCATTCTATTATTGAAATCCCCTCCTCCAAGGTGGGTGTCCCCACTAACTGCTTTGACTTCAAACAAAGACTTCTCCATTGTGACAATAGAAACATCAAAAGTGCCTCCACCAAGATCAAAAACCAGTATGTTCCTTGAATCAGAAAAACCACTTCCATTTCCTTTCTTGTCAAGACCATATGCAATTGCAGCAGCAGTTGGCTCATTGATAATGCGCAACACCTCAAGACCAGCAATGACACCGGCATCTTTTGTTGATTGACGCTGGGCATCAGTGAAATAGGCAGGAACGGTAATAACTGCTTTTTTTACTTGTTTGCCTAGGTAAGCCTCTGCAATGCTCTTCATCTTTTGGAGGATCATTGACGATATCTCCTCAGCTGAAAATTGCTTCTCTTCACCCTTATAAGTCACTGCGATGATAGGTTGCTCTCCACAACCACTGTCAGGGCCGGCTATGACTTTAAATGGCCAGTGTTTCATGTCATTTTGCACTATCTCATCACCAAACTTTCTACCTATTAGCCTTTTCACATCTGTCTTTCATCAATAGCAAACAATCAATGTATAAAATGTTAAATTATTATGTGAAGGACCTTCAAATGTTTGTACCGTACATACAAATTTGTTGGAATATCCTAGGAATCATAGTGATAATTATATCCAGGGGAAAATCTAAATATATGAGTTGGCCTAGTATGAAAAGTAAGTATGCTATCTTAAACAATAGCAGAATCAGCTAAATGAGAAACATAAATGTTTATACCATTATACCAAAATTTAGGTTGACATATGCCTCAAACCAACATAGCCCTAATGCCTACTTCCTACTACTGCTCCATTTTTTTACAATATGATCAACACATTTTGAAGATAAAATGAAAAATCTATAGGGTTCTATAGATATTATTCCCCACTTTCTGTACTGTCTCTATAAGTTTTCTCATTGATTTATCTAACTTAAATTATTTGACGTCAGTAACACCAATATATCGCTAGTGAATCAGTTGTTTATGATGCCAATACATACGTCATTATTATATCAATAAAAAATATTCCCTCTCACAAAATTATCTTTAGATTTTTTTCTCCTCATATTGCACGCAGTGAATGAGAATTCAAAAATCAATCGAGTATTTAATAATCGGGACCAAAAGAAAACAGATATGTCCAGAGGGACATGAGAAAACGAACCGAATATGGTATTGGAAGGATTCATGGCGGCCTGGTTCTGGGCAGGTTCGCCGATAAGGCGTTCAACGTCGGTGAAGGCAACCCATGACGGCGTCGTACGGTTGCCTAAGTCGTTGGTGATGATCTCGACACGGTCATGCTGCGGCTGCCACACTCCAACACAAGAGTATGTGGTCCCCAGATCGATTCCGATGGCCGGACCTTCTTCTTGTTCTTCCGCCGTTGATATTGTTTCGTTCTCTGCCGAATCATGCGAGTTGTCTTCCATTTTCTTCGACTTCCTTTCTCCCTGTGTTCATGAGTAGTCTTGACCAGAGAGTTGAGAGTTTCACCTGGTTTCTGATTTCACGGCCCTTTTTAAAAATAAATAACTTTCCCGCCGAAGTGTGTACGCAATCTCTGTGGAGGAACATGAGAATTGGGCGGACCTTTCAATTTTGCACGGAGATTCAGTTCAGTCATTAATCAATTACTATGTACAGTTATGGGTAACAGAAGATCTTTTGGACGCTTCGAACTGCGCAAACTCGCCGCCTTTTGAGATTTTTGAACATATGAAGCAATCAATTTCGATAAAAGAACAAAAATACGGAGTATTACCTTTACATTTTTTGAAAATCAAAATAAATATTCGTCACGAAAATAGAGTAGAGTATTTTTTTTGAGAGAAATAGAGTAGAGTTAAAATTAATGCTAATTAGTTTTGGTGCAGTCCTTTTTTTTATAATTAACTCCAACCAATTTTTTGTAATTATTTACTCCGTATTTAGTTAGCACTAATCTTTAGTGGGGTTTTCTTAAATGTGACTGCACAACAGCTAATTAGAAAAAATGAGTATTTTTATCATAGACAAAAATGTAACTCACAAGATAATATATTTGAAAAGAATAATTTCACTTTCAAATTATTACTTACAAAAGATCTCAGTTAAAAAAACCGTATTTAAAAACACTGTACTTTTTATATGAAGTGTAGACACAAGTCTTTTCAATAATTTATTTAAGGATCTAGAATGATCCTCTAACTCCTATAAATGGGGCTCATTGTACTCATTTGCAAACCAAGCAAACCAAGAAATATCAATACAATACATCTTTTCTAGAGACAAGAGCTTTACTCTAAAATATCTCCTTTACACTACACCCCACTAAAATCACTTTACATATTCATACACCAACAATCTCTTCTATTTTCTAACAAGTGGTATTGATGTGTGTTTTCTCGCACTTAAAAATGATGTAGTAAAGTGGTTGAAAGTACGAGTATCGTCTCCACAGGGACGGACAAAAGGGAATTAAAGATTAACTAAATTCAGCGAATAAAAATAAAAAATAAAAATACAATGCAAGTGTGCGAGATTGATTTATTGAATAAAAATTAAATTAAACTAATGCGAATGAGCGAATAAGATAAATGTTTGGTTTCTTTCTAATTAACGACAAAGGGAACAGGGATTGATTCCGGGGTAATCAGATTTCTGGCAGAACAGGCCTAATTACATGAATTTAATTTAATTGAGCCTAGCTAATCATTACTAAGTTCTTACCGCTCTCGCGGCGTAGAGTACAATAATTTAGGGGACCAGGCTGATCTCTCATGCGACAAGATCCTAAATTATTGCCAAAACGAGCGAGCTTACGGCTCCTTAATCGCTACTAATCTCTTAGCGAACGATTAAGTGTGTGTGAAGGTGTCCTAGAATAAATTAGATCTCTCTTAATTCATTCTACATGCAATTGTAATTCTAGCCGCGGTTCCAGGTTACAAAAGATATCAGTTAAATTATTCAAACACAAATTAAACGGCATTCATGCAATTAAACCGTAAAGAATCTAGCCATCAATCATAATTAACCCCTTCATCAATCCCAAATCCCTAATTAAACTACTCACAATTCATAATTGAAGAATCAACAGAATTGGGATGAATAGAAATAATTGTCATTAATTAAAAAGATAGAACTTACAAAGAATCCCTTAATCTTGAAGAACAAGGCTTGAAAAGCTCTCAAAAATCGAAATAGGGTTTATCTCTCTAAGCTCCTCGCCCAAAAACAGGCAAAACAGGGGTCTATTTATAGAAAAATCCGAAAATGGGCCGAAAATCAGGCCGTGCGGTCGTCCGCACGTAGTGCGGGTCACCGCGCGGTCACGCGCGCGTTTTTCCGTCTTCCGTCTTTCGCTCTGCCCGCGCGGTGTGCGGGCGCCGCACTATGCAACCGCGCGGGTACTTCTGGGGGCTATTTCTGGACCGCGCGGTGAGCGGTTTCGGCCGCGCGGTGTGCGGTTTCGGCCGCACATAGTGCGGTTTAGACTTCTTAAATTCTTGCTCTCAGAATCACCCGCGGGGCGTGCGGAACCGCACCGCGGGGCGCGCGGATTGCTCTAGAACCGTTTTCTTGCTATTTTCTTCCTCGTTTGCTCCCGGATACTTCTTTAATCAATCCAAAGGCCGTTTCTTCATCAAATCTTCGCCGTGAACCTTCCGGTGGTCTCCAAAACTCTCAAATCTCTCTCGAATGTTCTCCAACTCTTCCCGATTGCTTCTCTAAGCGCCGATGTCGGTCTCTAACTTCTTCAAATCAACTCCAAATGCAATGAAACTCGATCCAACGCCTGCTAAACACAACTTGAGCCAAACTTGAGACTTGCAACGCCTTAAAGCCAGGAAAACCATCAAAATCCGACCCGGACACGCATCAAATGCGTGTCTAAATACGGACTTAACAGGTATCAGAGCTTGTTCGATCATAAGCAGACATTATGGCCACATCAAGCTTCTCGGTATCGACTCCGATGTTCAATGGAGAAAGCTACAACTATTGGAGTGTTTGTATGAAGACTTGCTTAGAATCCCATGAACTTTGGGATATTGTTGAAGAAGGAATCATCGTGCCAGAAAAAGGAAGTGACGACGCATCAACTTCCGAGGTATGTAAGAAACAAAAGCAGCAAAATGCTAGAGCTCTTTATCTTCTTCAACAATTCGTTAGTGATACCATTTTCCCGAGAATAATTCGTGTTACTACGGCAAAAGAAGCTTGGGATATTCTTAAGGAGGAATTTCAAGGAAATGAGAAAGTTAGAACTATTAAATTGCAAAGTTTAAGAAGAGAGTTCGAAAATTTAAAGATGAGAGATTCTGAAATGGCAAAAGATTATTTCTCTCGGGTTATACATATAGTCAACGAAATGAGAACTCTTGGGGAAAACATAACCGGCGAGAAAATAATCCAGAAGGTCTTAATCAGTCTCCCTGAAAAATATGATCCAGTAGTTTCGGCTATTGAGGAGTCAAAAGATCTATAAAAAAATGTCTATCACTGAATTAATGGGGTCACTAGAAGCACGTGAGCACAAGCTGAACAGAAGACATGAAAGTTCATTAGAAAGTGCCTTCCAATCTAAGCTCAACATTAAAAGGAATGACTCAAGAAATGGTGGAAACTTTAAATCTCATAAAGATGGGAATTCTAGCAACAAGTAGAGGAAGACCAACTTTCCACCATGCAAAATTTGCAAGAAGACTAATCACTTAGAGAAAAATTGCTACCATCGCGGAAAGACACAATGCAAAAATTGCAAGAGGTTCGGGCTTGAAGAAAAAGATTGTAGAGATAGAAGAAATTATCAAACCAACTATTCTGAAGATTTTAAGAAGAAGGAGTACATGTTCTATGCGTGTCAAAAAATGTTATGATATTATAACGTCATAATTTTATGTGATATTTTATTGTCATAATTTTGTGACACTAATCTGTTTAACAACCAGTGACACTAAATTTTGTGTCACTTGCCCCGCTTTTCTGTGACACTTTCACTGTGTCATTAAATCGTTTAGTGACACTAATTTAGTGTCACTATAAGCCATTTTTTTACTAGTGGTGGTACATCGATAGTGGGTGCAGCAATCACATGACATCCAACGAGACCATCTTCCATGAGTTAAACACTTCTATCAAGACAAAGGTCAAGATGGGAAATGGTGAATTGGTGGAGGCAAAAGGGAAAGGTACCATTGTCATAGATACAAAGAAAGGTACGCGCTATATTAGAAACGTTCTCCTAGTGCCACGTCTTGCGCAAAATCTACTAAGTATTGGGCAAATGATGGAAAGTGGATATGCCCTACACTTTGAGAAAAATTCTTGTCAAATTTATGACAAGAAAAATAACCAAGAAATTGCCGAAGTAAAAATGGGAAATAATAGAAACTTTCCCATTCAATGGCAATATCCACAAAAGGCGATGGTGGCTCAACTGAGTGATACGAGTCCATAGCATTGAAGATTTGGGCACTTCAATCTCAATGCCTTGAGATTACTACATCAAAAGAATATGATGAGAGACATTCATCTACTTGATGAAAAAGGAGTATGTGAAGGATGTATAGTTGGGAAGCAGCACAGGCAGCCATTTCCAACAGAGAAAACATGGAGAGCCAAACAGATACTAGAGCTTGTCCACACCGATATCTGCGGTCCAATGCGCACACCTTCAGTGTCCAATAACAGGTACTTCATACTCTTCATTGATGATTACTCAAGGATGAGATGGGTGTATTTCTTCCAAGAAAAATCCGAAGTTTTTAGAATATTCAAGAGATTCAAGAACTTCGTGGAGAAACAAAGTGGTCATCAAATCAAGAAGTTGAGAAGCGATCGAGGTACCGAATATAACTCAAAAGAATTTGATCAGTTCTGTGAAGATGAAGGCATGGAACATCAACTAACAATAGCATACACTCCACAACAAAATGGGGTATGCGAAAGAAAGAACCGCACAGTCATGGAGATGGCAAGATCCATGCTAGCTGAGAAAGGAATGCCTAAAATGTTCTGGGCAGAAGCAGTGTATGCTTCAGTCTACCTACTCAACCGATGTCCAACTAAGGCCGTTCTAAACAAAACACCTATTGAGGCATGGTCGGGACAAAAGCCTTCAGCCAAACATTTGAAGGTCATCGAAAGCATATGCTACATTCATGTTCCCTCTGTGAAAAGGCACAAATTAGAAGACAAGACAGAGAAGGGCATCTTCCTCAGCTACAACTCCAAATCAAAGGGATATCGAATCTACAATCTCGAGACAAAGAAGCTGGTGACAAGTCAAGATGTGGAGTTTGACGAGCAAGTCTCTTGAAATTGGGAAACAGAAAGAGTCGAAAGAGAGACAACTACTACCCAACTAGAGGAAATTCCAGATGAGGAAAATCATGATCAACAGATCCCCACATCTACTCCAAGATCCTCTTATGAAGCCAATACATCAAACAGGCATGACTCCTCACCAGAATCCCCACCCCTTCGGGTAAAAACTCTAACAGACATATATGAGTGACATGAGTCTACTGACATCTATGAAACATGCAACTTTTGTTCCTTGGAGCCACATAGCTACATTGAAACCTCCAAAAAAAAGATTGGATTAAAGCAATGGAGGAGGAGATAAAAATGATAGAAAAGAATGATACTTGGGAAATGGTAGATCTTCCGCATAACAAGGAAGTTATTGGAGTCAAATGGGTGTACAAAACGAAGCTGAATCCC